CTTTGATTAAACCTTCTCTTTTAAACAATTTTCATTGTTTGAATTTTACTGCATGATTCATTCTATTTTTTCATTTTTCTAGAAAAAAAAAGACAACTTAAATCTTTCTAGACATGAACTTGAAGTTTTCATATCTGATAATAATCTGATCAACATAACATTCAACATCCAAAATATTTCCAAAACAGCCACTCGTAGCATAATACACTGTAGAGCTAAACAGGAAAAAAACATTACCAGGAAGATTAATAAGTCAAGCATGAAAGTTTATGTGAGTAAATGTTGACTATATATTTTTTTAGTTTGTTAAGTTTGTATTATTAAATTTTATTCTTACAAATACTTCTCTGAGTTTGTAAATCATATCATATTATACTTCAAAATTAGATTTTTCCATATGCTAAATTTTTATGTCTCCTTTCTGAAAACAGTCCTTGGCATTATGTACATATAGATAGAATTACACAGCTTTCAATGTGAGTAATGCTTGAATCTAAGCATTTTAGAATCTAAGCATTCATCTAATCTAAAACTCTAAACTGTGCATAGTGAAATCGAAAACAGAAAAGTACTTTGGATCGGATGTGGATGCATGTGCTGTATTTGTCAGCTGCACCTTAGAGAATCTGGAACTCTTCCTGGCTCATCTGAAATATGCATGTTGGCCAGTATGGTCCATGGAAAATACACATTTAGGATTTAGGATTTTCAGGGGCTATGCAGCACTGTGGAAGATAAGAAAAATGTGTGACCTGTTTTATGTTCTGCTGACAGATACAGCAAGTGCTTACATTGATTCCAAGGCATTATTCCTGTTTTGGATTAAATCCTGCACATCTCTAAAATGAAATTATACCTTCTGTTTTTGTTGCAGTGTCAATGCAATTTTGTTGCAGTGTCAATGCAATTTCTCAAACTGGGAAGTGTCTCTAGCATTTTTTTTTTAATTTGAGATTTTTGCCAGTTGAGAATAATATTTCAGATGCTGCATGAATGCACATTTCACATAGTAATAAATTAATCTTATGGGAGCAGGATTCCATGATCAAGCAGTTGGAAGCTTTTGCTTCGTTTTTTTACTTAGAACATATTTTTTACATATTCCATACCAATGGAAATAAATTTCAGATCCTTTGTAACTTCAGTGTTGGAAAGTGTTGATTTATTTCTGTCTCAGTTATGGAGTATATGCTGCAGAAAGCTAGGATTATTTATTTATTTTTATTTATTTATTTGATTTGTCAATCGCTTACAAGATAATAGGTATAAGTATAAACATGAGTAAGAATACAGGAAATAGGTATGAATAAATGGGGACAATAGGACAGGGACGGTAGGCACGATGGTGCACTTATGCACGCCCCTTACAGACCTTTTAGGAATGGGGTGAGGTCAATAGTGGATAGTTTGAGGTTAAAGGAGTGGGGGTTAGAGGATGTAACAACAGAGTCAGGTAGTGCATTCCAGGCATTGACCACTCTGTTGCTGAAGTCGTACTTTCTGCAATTGAGTTTGAAGCAGTTTACATTGAGTTTGTATCTGTTGTGCGCTCTTGTATTGTTATGGTTGAAGCTGAAGTAGTCATTGACTGGTAGGACATTGTAGCAGACAATTTTGTATGCTGTGCTTAAGTCTAATAGTAGGCAGCGTAGTTCAAGGTTGTCCAAGCCCAAAATCTCAAGCCTGGTGATATAGGGTATTCTGTTGCGAGCAGAGGAGTGTAGTACTCTTCTTGTGAAATACTTCTGGACTCGCTTGATTGTATTAATGTCTGATATGCAGTGCGGATTCCAGACTGATGAGCTGTATTTGAGTATTGGTCTGGCAAAAGTTTAGCAATTCGATATTTCCAGAGGAGAAGCTTTGTAAGATTAGATTTACAACTCTTAATGCCTTTTTGGCAATGCTGTTACAGTGAGCTCTTAGGTCATTTGATATGAGAACTCCATGGTCCTTGACAGAGTGAGGATCATCAACTAGGTCATATCTGCCTAGTTTGTATTTGGTGTACTGATTTTTTTTACCAATATGTAGGGACAGAGCATTTGTTGGTCAAGATTTGGAGTTGCCAGATGTTTGACCATTCTAACACATAATCAAGGTCGCTTTGAAGGATAGTAGCATTGTCGGTGGTGTTGAATAGTTTCACGTCATCTGCAAAGAGGATGCAGTTGCTTATAAGGTGACCACAAAGGTCATTTATATAGAGTATAAAGAGTGTGGGTCCTAGAACACTGCCTTGGGGGACACCGCTGTTAACTGGAGCAGGGTTTGATATAGCACTCCTTATTTTTACTATTTGTTGCCTGTTTGACAGGAATGCAGTAATCCACTTATGGAGGGATCCGGAAATGTCGTAAGAGTTTAGTTTTAACAGTAGTTTGTCATGGACCACTGAATCAAAAACTTTGCAGAAGTCTATGTAAATTGCATCTATAGCTTTACCCTGGTCAAGTAGAGTAGTCCATATGTTTTTGCAGTGTAGGAGTTGAAGATTATAGGACAATTTTTTCCTGAAACCAAATTGTTTTCTGGAGAGTAGGTTGTTTGACTCTAAGTGGAGAGTGATGAATTGGTTAATGATTGATTCCATGACTTTGCACGTGACACAACACAGTGAGATTGGTCTGTAGTTTTCAACCAGGCTGGGATCACCTTTTTTGAAGATAGGATGACTGTAGCTAAGGACCATAGGTTTGGTAAGGAGCTGGTTCTGAATGATATCTCATATATAATGTTTAGGAGTTCCGCTATGGCAGAGGAGAGCTTTTTTTAAGAAGTATGCACAGGGCCAATAGATAGGGATGGTTTTAGGTTATGTAGTGCCTTTTCTACGTTATCTTCTGTAAATTCAATATGTAGTAGGTCATTGCAGTTAGTTGTGGTACTACTAGGAAATGTGGGGCATGAACCATTGTTGTTTACAAAGACTGAACTGAGGAATGTGTTGACAAGATTGGCCTTAACAGCTTCATTGTTGCAGTCTTTCCCATTTGGTCCTTTTAGAGATGGGATGGTTCATGAGTCTTTAAGTTTGGTATCAACAACATTGTAGAAGGTGCGGGTGGATTTTGTACATAGGACGTTTTTCTCTTGCTTGCAGCAGTAATTTGTGCATTCTGCCTTTATCTGTCAGCATAGGGTGTTGTATTGGTTTTTAAAGTTTGGTATGTAGCCAGTTTTGTTTTTACACCATAGTGATCTTTTTTTTTTTTATTGGAGTTTCCTTATTGTTATGGGTAATTTGTTTTTTTTACTTTTGGGGGTTACTAATGGTACATATAGTTTAATGGCTCTTTCAAGTTCAAACAAGAATGCATTATAATGGTCTTCTGTAGTATTACATCTAGAGAACAGAATGTGCCAATCAAGAGATGATAGGTCAGCATCTATGAGATCATAGTTGGCTTTTTTGAAGTTGTATTTTGGGGATCCATCATTATGATCCTCCTTGTGAGGGCGTAAATTGAGACAAAAGTCGATCATACTGTGGTTACTGTTTGAAAAGGGTTCTTGTATTTGTAGGCCATATATTGAGTTTGAGTTGTTACAGAAGATAAGGTCAAGGCAGTTATTGAATCTAGTATTGTTAGTTACTAATTGATCCAGTCCCAGTGTAGTAACAGCATTGTACCGGGTTGCATGTATGGGTTCAGATGTACATTCATTTAGGGTCCAATTTATAAGAGGTAGATTGAAGTTACCAAGGAAAATAAGAGGTGAGGGCAAGAGGCAGCCCACGTTAACAGTGAAGTTAGCTTGTTTACATGAACTATGTCATAATCCAGGGCTCTGTAGCATAGTAAGAAGCGGATTGTGGTATTTACGGACAGTTCACAGACGATGGTCTCTGGAAGAGCAAGTTCCTGTGTAATTTGAATCTTTTTTAGATTTAGGGATTTTTTGTAGAAGATAGCAACTCCACCTCCTCTACGGATTTCTCAATCTGACCGATAAACATTATATTCGCTGTCTGTGGTAATGGAGTCTGGAAAAGATGCATTTAACCATGTCTCACAGACAAATATAATGTTGAATGTGGTCGTGCCTAATAAGATGAGGAATTCATGCATTTTGTTTGCGAGGCTTCTTGCGTTTTAGATATTTAGTAGTGAGTCTGGAGGAAGTAAGGGGCGTGCATGCCTAATGTTGGATGTTGATTACTTGGTGGTCTGTTTTTATTTTTTTAATATTCTGGAACTTTATTTCTCTCAACCTTCCAACTAATAGTCTCAATAAAAGCAGGCATCTTCAACTTCAACTTTAAAATCCCAAAAGCATTTCTCTATTGAGTACATCATTCTGTCGCAGAAGAAAGCAAAACCAACCCTAAATTTTCCCATGCAACTCTGCATAGTTAAAAATGAGTTTCATCCTCTCCTCCCATGAAACGGGTCACATTGTCCAATTAGGAATCAGCCTGTTGTTTTAATAACAGTCCATATCTCGACAGACACCTACAAATGTGTCCTTGGATCTCATGGTTGAAGATTGTAACCTATGAATTCCATCTCACCCTTCCCTCCCCCCAGTTCATTGGCAAGTTGAAAAGCAATAATAGTCACAGGAAGCTTAAGTGCTTTTCTGTCTTGACAATTTCCCTGTTGAGAACAATCTTTCCTGATTCCTGCTCTGGAACTGGAATGCTAACATGATGTCTTTGGGGTATGTCCTTAGCAAAAGCTGCCAGTGCTGAAATTAACAAGAGTTTGTTTTCCCTTTATCTTCTTGAAAGGCTCAGTGGGCAACTCATGTGCCAAGCAACTGAGGAATCTCCCCCCCCCCCCCCTTTCTTTCTTTTCCTTGGTATCAGATAGTTCTGTAGGGATTTTCATTACTGCAGGACCTGTGTAACAGTAATTTTAACTCCTTGTTCAGCATTTTGATGGCAGATGCTAAGATGATCATGGATCACTTTTGGATGACTTCTGAAGTTTTGAAGTGAAAATGGTGGTGACTTCACTTGTGCATCTGTTTGTGACTAATAATAAAAAACAAACCAAATTAATGTAGATTTCATCTTTATTTACTGAAATAGCCCAAGGAAGAGAGGGAGGGAAAGGAGAAGGAGATTTATTTAAACTTATTTCAATTAACCTTTGTTTGAAACTTACCATGTGTATGAAGTTTTAAACAGACAGTTCAAATCTAATCAAATACATATATGTGAGATTGAATTATGTCTAAAACTATACCCATTGCACCTCTAATTTCCACTGTTTCATTGCCTCTTCTTTGATCTGGAAATAGCTTTTTTGAAATTTCATTGTTGTCTTTTCCTGTTTCAAGTTATTGAATAACATTAGCAAACTTAGCAAGAAATTTACTTATCCCTGGTTCCAAAACATTATGAAAAAGTCAAAAGGTATAACAATCTATATAAAGTTTTGTAAAATATTTCATTTCTTTCTCTTTCTCAGTTTCTTTTAGCACTTTACTATCTCTTTACTAATGAATTAATAAAGTATTTAAATAAAGCAAGACACCAGATGTCACTAATCATGACACGTATTATTACAATACAATCCTGTAAAATTGGATAATATTTACTTGCAGAAAATATCTCTGAATAAAGTCTAGTATTAGATTTATTTGCTCTAGTTTTTCAGGTTATAAAAGTGTATCATATCTTGATCTATACAATTTAATATTGCAGAAGTTAGCCCTACGTTTTTTCTCCTTTTCTGTATGCTTCTCTCTCTATAGATCCTCAGTCTTATTTGCAGACACAAATTATCTACAATTTCCCATATAATCAGGAAAGTAGATATAATTTGTAAAATAAACAGAATACCTACATACTAAATATTACAAGTAATCTGCATTTGTTATGCTTAGCATATGTAATACCTGCTCTTCATTTTAAGAGAGGAGAAATTGGACCTCTGCTTATGTTGCATACTATTCTGTAACAAGGAGAGATCTCTCATTGTTTAATTGGAAAGTGCATTTTATCTTTCAATAATATTTTTTCTTGAGTGCTGTTTAAGTAGAACTTGAGACTTTCAAGAAGAGATTGGACTGCCATTTGTCAGAAATGGTGTAGGGTCTTCCGCTTGGGCAGAGGGTTGGACTAGATGTCCTATAAGGTCCCTTCCAGCTCTGATTATCTGTTAAGAAAAATCTGTTAGAAGGACAAGGTATATGTCATGTTCCCATCGGAGCCTGAATCTGCAGAGGAAGATGAGCCAGAGCTGGAGCTGAGGGAGACCGAGGAGGCGGCTTCGTTGGCTTCAGAGGAATGTAGGGAGGAGGCCAGGTGGGGCCCCTCAGGAGTGGGATGGCTTGCTAGCAGGGAGGAATGGGACCAAGGTGACCAACAGAGGGCACACAGTGGAAATGAGGAGTGAAGGAGTTCAGGCGATGAGCAAGAACTACCCCTTCCTGATCCCTGAACAAGGAGAGTGGAGAGGAAGTGGGAACAGCACAGGCCAACCCAATGACTTGGGAGGGGAGTGCCCCGCCCCTCTTCACAAGGCACACCTGTGGATTGAGACTTAAGGAGACACTGTGGGGAGGGACGTTTGTTGGGAACAAATGCTGAATTCATTGAGTTTTTAGTGTGCTGTTTCCAACATTTGGAGTTTCCTGGACTTCTTGAATTATTTCTTGCTTCCTGGATTAGTTGCCTTGTTCCTTTGCTTCCTGGACAACGACTTATTCCCTTGCCCTGCTGCCTTTCTTACTTTGCAGCCATTGTGCTCACAGCATTTTGCTGCACTATTTGCAGCCAGAGGCGTGTGTGTGTGTGAGAGAGATCACTTTGCTCTGAGACTTGCCATAATTGGGAACGTTTGGGGGAAAGTTGGTGCAATAAAGGATTGGTGATTTGAACTATCAGCTGACTGTGTTGCCTCTGTGCCTTGACCCAGGTCATCACAGTATAATCAAATAAATTTAAAACATTTATTGATTGATTGATTGATTGATTGAATTTATATTGCTGCCTATTCGCACATGGCGACAAGGTGGCTTACAGAATATAAAACTAATAAAACTAATAAAAGAAGAGTCATATAATAAATTAACATAATTACTATCAGCTATTTTGGAAATATAAAGAGTATACCAATTCTGTTTATCCCTATACCACATTCTGCATACACTGACTGCAATCTTCTAGAAATATATAATATATTATTATGTCTTATTTATCCAAAGGTCAAGGTGGGGAATTTTGTGTATGAAATTCCTAATGAAAAGAACTATTCATTCTTCTACATTCTTTTGTTAATCCCGATAGTAATTGTGGGTAAGTGATTGCATACTTATCTTTACCCATTAATTTATTACAAAACAGTGGCTGCAAAGGATAGACAATGAAAATAAAATAAATGAAAATAAACCAAGTCATTTGATACAGCTCAAAGCTCTTCCAGTCACCAAAACCATCAGCTAGAGTCATCAGAGAGCACTTTACCTATAATCATCTCACAGCTCAGGAAGTTCTGCTTATACTGCATCTGACTAATGATCCATCCTATTCTTTTCTCTCCCTTGCTATACACAAAATCTTTCCAAGGCCTCAGACTGAATTGCCTAAATTCTTCAGTTCCATCAACATAATGAACCCTATAGATTTTCCTTCCTAGGCAGAGGCCTCCAAATTTTGTCAAGATTTGTGACAGTGTGAGGTGACAAAAAGGAAGGCATTTGAGAAAGGAGAACCCTACTTCCAAAATTCCGGAGGTTGCTTCGGCCTTTTACTACTAACTGTAGTTCTGTTATTATTTTTAGGGTTGTTTGTAGCCTGCAGATACTTTTAATGAATTGATTTAAATATATTGAATGTCATTTTAAACTTGGCCACTTGGCACCAGTTTTCAGATATTTTTGTCCTTTTAAAACAAATTATAAATATGTATGTATTAGGACAGATAGCATGTTAACACCTCTGTTAGCTTGATGTTATTTTTTTAGTTGCAGTTTTTGTCACCCAGCGAAAGTCCAAACAATTAAATCAAAAATTGAGTGAACATCTGGAGCTATTGGAATGTGAACTTCGTAAAGAAATACGGGAAGGTAAATTTATATCAGCAGAATGCATGTGAATGAATTCACGTGTGGATGTAAAAGTCCCCAGAATTGTTGCATTGTTTTTATGCAATTATTTTATCATTGTATCAAATACAGAAATCTAGTTTGTAACTACATTACTACACTACATGACAGAGTTTTTCCTCAAAAATCCTTTAATATTCTTTATAAAACCCTTTGTAAAATTGTCTTGTAAGCTGTCTTTACTATTGCAAAGCTTCAATGCTCCTTTTAGCCAATCTTCCCTTGTTTGTAGGAAACAAGAACTATATATACAAATAAACAAATATAAATAGACCTACAAGATCTACTCTCATAGAAAGAGGTCAGTAATAGATAAATGTATGTAGATCTTGCCAACATCACAAATAACATACAAAGAAATTTGTTAGACTAGACAAATGGTTTATGCATTTGCAATAATGTTAATGCTACACCTAAAACACATGATTTGTCCAATTTAATATAGCAAAAGCCATTCCTTAAATATCTCATACTAAGTTTTTGCATATTAAGAGAGAAACTGTTTTTATGTGTTTATTTTAAATCTTCATGTGATTGTAGGAGCCTGTTCTGACACATAATGCATAATTGTCTTTATTGGAGTTTGGATTAAATTCTTCCATAGAGTATTTTTTGCTGATCTTACCATAAATAATCATTGGTCATTTCTATGTTGTATACAAAAATGGATTTTAAAAATCTGTATATTAAAAAGATAGACAGTTTTGCATATTCCAGAAAAATAAATACACATACACAAATGTATGCCACAAACACACATACTGATAATCATTCCTTTCTTTATCATTCCTTTCCAGAATCATAGTGAAAATTGTCATTAGGATGTAACATTATAAAAATAAACACTACAGCTGACTTTTTTGTTTTATAGGATTTGTTGAACTACAAGTTGAAGAACAGGATATAGTTGATAGCTTTGGAACAATTCCATTTCTTGATTATAAACATTTTGTTCTTAGGACATTTTTTCCAGAGGTAAATGATTATTTGTCTACAACAAACAAGTAATTGAAATAATGTATTTCAATTTATTAAATGTAATCTGCCAACTCCATTACAACTCTAGATGATGTATAGTATCATTTTTTTCAAAAATAAAATAGACCATACAACACAAAAATAACATCTGGAAAAAAAACAATCAACATTTCACAACTCAGATAGTTGATAAGGATCTTATTATTTTAAAAATGCCAAAGATCATTCAGTTTGTAACTGAAAAAGTTTTTCTAATTCATCAATCCATTTACAAAGTATCATCTTCCTTAAATGTGATGGAATATGAAGATAATAAAAATAGATGTGAATTTCAGGGTTCCTTCCCAACATATGCAAATCTTTGGTATTTAAAAAAAAGGACAAATATTGCAGTGTTTTAGATCAGAGGTCTCCAAACTTTAAGACTTATGGACTTCAACTCCCAGAATTCCCTGGCCAGTCTTAAAGTTGCTAAGTTCTTGTTTATTTCTTCATATATATATATATATATTTGAATAATGAGAACTTTCCAGAATATCCTGGTGCACTCACGCTATCAGTTTCCATCCTCTGTGGATGTAGTGTGAGTAAGAGGGGTTTCAGATGACAAATATTTCAGCTTTGAACCAGCATTAGTTTTGTTTTTCTTTTCTTAAGAAATTATTTCTGAACATGTGAGCTGTGGTGGCACAGTGGTTAGAGTGCAGTACTGCAGGCTACTTCTGCTGACTGCCAGCTGACTGCAATTTGGCAGATAGAATCTCACCAGGCTCAAGGTGAGACTCAGCCTTCTATCCTTCCGAGGTGGATAAAATGAGGACCCAGATTGTTGGGGGCAATATGCTGACTCTGTAAACCACTTAGAGAGGGCTGTAAAAGCAACTGTAAAGTGGTATATAAGTCTAAGCGCTATGTAGTTTTCAGTATGCAGCTAATTTATAAGCTCATAGTTTCTAAGAATTTTCACATCACTTTCGTTTGTAGTTTAGAGGAGGAACATTCAGAACATGTCATTATACCTCATCAAAATCAGCATCATCTTTATATTTATGCTGCAAATGTTTAGAAAATGTTTATTGTTGTATTCACATTTTTTTGTTTAGGCTAAAGATATTTCGTCTATATTTATTGAAGACTCCAATGAACCACTAGTAAGTATAAATATCTATAATTTTCATTCTTTTAAGTTTGTTGTGCTTTTAAAAATATTTCTAAAATTTTAGATTTTTTTTTACAGAATTTAGAAATATTGCATATCCAAACTGGGACAGATATTGGAAAAACTCTGAAAAGTTTTACTCACAGGAATAATGTGTTCCTTTATCTGCCTCCTTTGTATTTCGTATAACATCAATATCTGTAGCAGGATTTCTAATTATCAAATTATGATTTGTACAGTTTTAAGAATTAAATAAATACGACATTAAAAATAGGTGAACAATAATGTAATTTATGTCTTTCATTTCTTTCAGAGCAAAGATCAGGGTCTATATGCATTAATTTGTAACAAAAAATTTCTCGTTACTCTGATTCACATTCTTGAAAAACAGAAAACATTTGATGTAAAAGATAGGTATGCTATAAAATTTAAATTCTTCAAGTTATATAAAACTGGGGACAAAAGACACCAAATTGTCATTTTTTTGTTAAAATAGTCAAAATATACTTGCTGATTTCTTCACTTTTTGAATAGTCAAAATTAGTTCTTCTCATCTTGAATAGAATATGTCACCCTGGGTTATGATAAGACATATAAGTCTTATCAATCAATACTTTCACTTTAATCTAGCCTTTGCATTTGGAAGATTTTGTGAATATTTCCCAACTGAAACAGATGGAGAAATAAGAAATTTATATTATTCATAATAAATCCATTTTTTATTCCAATTCAGATGTGGAAAAGTTAGGGTTAGGTTAATTTTATGTTGCATCATTTGTATAATTTGAGCCATTAGGTGATTGAAGAATAACCAATTTTATTTTCTGAACAATACACAGGTATTTATTGATAAGCATTAGTTTTATGCTTCCTGTCCTTTTCTTCACCTGTAAAATGGCTAACAGAGTTTACATTCATGATATTCAGATTCTTAACTTTCCAAACTGTACAGATTTTTTTCATATTTCTAGCCTTAATTGTTGATCTTGCCAAAAATGCTCTGCTCTTAGATGTACCAGACTACCTTTGATTATCAATAAACAGATTATCTATCTGTTAAATAGACCCTTTATATTTAGTAGTTCCAGAAATCATCTCATGTTTTTGTATGGCACATGACAAGATGTGGGTGAGTTTGGATCAAGCTTGTGCTGTTATTATATGGTAATAATTTAGATTCCTAACATGCAGAGTTATTGTTAACCTGTTTTTTTTCTTTTTCAACAGATGCTTGTTTGCATCTTTTTTAACAATTGCACTACAGACAAATCTAGTCTATTTAACTAATATTCTAGAAGTTTTGACAAAAGATTTGATGGAGCAGTCTAGCAATATACAACCTAAGCTGATGCTGAGGCGCACAGAATCAGTAGTAGAAAAACTGCTTACAAACTGGATGTCAGTTTGCCTTTCTGGTTTTCTTCGGGCAAGTATTATGTATTATATGTTTTTACTATATAACATCAGTGAGCAAGAGATTGATTAATTTGCAGGCAGATTTTCCTGCTCACATTTTCCACACTTGGTCTTCTAGCAGTGTTGATCACCCAGTCACTGGTGATCACTGGTGGGATGCTGCCGGTTTAACACGCATGTTGCCTAAGGCGCTTGCACACAGCACTGAAAATGGAGCATTTAGAAGCTCAGCTGCTTACTTTCCAAGTCAACAATGATAAGTAGAACAGTGAGGGGTGGGAAATCAGCTGTGCTGTGCAACTGAGATGAGCTACAAAGCAGGAAATAAAGGACAGGGGCAGGTGGGCGGGACAGGTAGTTTCATCAGAACTACCAGTTCACCCGAACCGGTCTGAACCGGCAGCATCCCACCCCTGCACCCAGTCTTGCTTTATTTTGACACTGTGGACTACTGGCACAAGCTCAACAGACAGCCTCTTATTTTAATTAAATTTCATAATTTCAAATTTCATAAACCTGGTGTTCTGAATGCATTAAATAAATTCATATTGATACATGAGGCATAAGTAATCTATTACTTTAAACATTCCTGAATATTTCCTGCAGAAGCCACTTTGGCATGAGGGAAAAAAAATCTGACCAACTGCATGTTAATTTAATTCATTAGATATCATATTCGTTACAGCTTTTCAGCATTCATATGCCAAATATAGACGCAAAGAAATAGTTTGTTTTCCAGGTTTTGTGTGAATTGAGAATGCATATTTTTCAAAACAGATTTGAACTACAACTGGGGCATACTTAGTACTTCCCTTTTCCTTCTTTTTTCACACTATGTTCATTAAACAATTGCAAATAAATGCTGCAAAAGACAATAACTGTCTTTCATTTTCTTTCATAGGAAACAGTTGGGGAACCATTCTTTTTACTTGTAACAACTTTAAATCAAAGGATTATCAAGGGTCCTGTGGATATAATATCTTGCAAGGCCTTATACACTCTAAATGAAGACTGGTTACTGTGGCAAGCACCTGAATTCAGCACAGTGGTATGTTACCTAATGACTTTATGACTGAAACCAGGACAGTTTGTATAAAAAAAAGCATATATTCCAATAAATGCTTTGCATAACATATTTTAAAAATCAAGGTTCAGTGCCAAGAAAGGCTGACTCTTTAACTTAATTTAATTTACAGATGTTTAATATGCCTTAGTATCTATTCATCTAGCTATGGAAATTGGCAAAGAATTATTCCTATTATTTTTATATTTTTGTTGAAGATAAATTAGCCCCAGAAAATTAAAAACAGTTCCATCCAATAAAAATTCATCCAAGTATTTGTTTCATCTTTTCAATCCTGTCTTTGTGGTACTAAGTATCTCAACACAATCAACGCATGGCTGTATATCTAGGTCAGAAGTAGCATAAAGCTCCGTGGAATCATTTTATCATTCTATTTCTGAAACTAGGCTCAGTGGTTTGCACCACCCACAAATCAGTCATTTCAACAGGAAGCAACTTTCAAAATATGTACATAATACCATTCCCTTCTTATTAAGGATGCAGGGTTGCATGTTATTCATGAATTAGACTATACAAGTAGTCGACATACAACAGTTCATTTAGTGACTGTTTAAAATCACTATGGCACTGAAAAAAGTGTCTACATTTATCTCTGTGAATGATACGAGGGAAAGCATAGTATTGGAAATTAAAGAAGGAGAGCTATTTACGTGTCTCCATGATTTTTGTGGTGTTATAAACAATGTTCTTCCAATATGCCCAAGATGATCTAAGTAGTTTGGAGCTGTGGGAGAATCCGAAAACTATTCTGATAGTTTGTTCCATCGCAGTTGTACCACCTGATGCTCATTTTGTCCATGTGGAAAAGATCAGCTACAGAAAGGTTTGACAGGATAGTGTGGAACTAACCTCATTCTTTAGCCCTGGAAATATCCATTATCAAATACTATGGGTTTTCTGTGAAATTGCTTTTCTAAACCACTTATTAAGCACAAAGGAAAAGAAAGTGAGACAAGGGAAGAGCAGGTTTGTATTTGTACAGCCTAAGGCCAAGTTGTAGATGGGCAGCATGATCAGAATCCTAAAAAGCCCATGGATTACTTCCTATGTGTCTGTAAAAAGCCCTGGTGATTGTTTTTTCTTTAGCTATAGATTTGAGAACATAATAAAGCAAATCTCAGCAAATTGTCATCTGTTACCTTGAATTACTGAAATTCAGGGTAATAAGTACTATGCTAAATAAACACTACTGGATATAAATACTACTCCCAAAGCTTGGAGATGGTGAATATTATGGAGTTTATCTTACAAAATCTAGACTGGACCATATAGGAAAAAGAATTGCAGAGAATGAAATATGGCAAGAGGAAGACCCTTGCCAGAATGAAAACATTGGACAAGCAGTGATAGGACATAGAAGTCATAAAGAAAGAAAACAGGGAAAGATTTGTGTGAAGGTTGTTCATTGTGTATGTATCTAAGTGAAGCAGAATGTGCATTTGGAGTTTCATCCAAGAGAAACAAAAATGATGTATGATAATATTTTAGTAATCGGTGAATGCCATCATGAATACTGTTAGGTATTCCTAATAATCCTTATGTGTATTTTCTATCCAATTTCAACTTTTAAGTCACTTTGAATAAACATTCACACTCTTCCAGGTATTAAATGTTGTCTTTGAAAATATGCAAGAAAATGAGGCCAATGGCGCTGCTCAGAATATCCAAGTTAAAATATTGGATTGTGACACCATTGAACAGGCCAAAGAGAAGATCCTACAGGCCTTTCTGAACAAGAACGGATCCCTCTATGGTCTCCAGCTAAGAGAAATGGGCCTGAGTAAGATATTGATAATGCTATACTAGTTATAAATTCAAAACTAGCTGTTAGTTTTTCTTTCTTCACAACTGTATAATTGTTTTTATTATTTACTTTTAATTGTACGGTTTGCATTTTTTAAAACTAAACATTATTATGTCTTTGCTAATTAACATAGGAATTATAAGATTAACTATTGGAGTTATTTAGAATAATTTAGCACCTGAATATGTCTTGGATTATTTTGTGGCTTTTTGCTGAAAAGACACAATAGAAATGCGACCATTATATCTTTGCTCCACAAGCTACATTGCTCTCAGAGTGCTTTCAGGTACAATTCAAGGTGCTGATTGTCATCTATAACAAGTGTGTCTGGGGATGGGGGCTATATAAATTGAACAAACAAACAGAACTCTCCACAGCCTGGGTCTTTATTTGTAGAACTGCAAATAAAGTCCCCAGTTGTTTCCATCTGTCCTGTCTGGCAGGAGGTGCGTGTTGTGAGTCCCATCAGTTACAGAATGTCATCTTGCAGGACTCAGAAAGTGATCCTTTTCTATTGTAGCCATGGAGATTAGACTGACCATGACGTGGCTGACTTGTCAGAAAGTTTTAAGGCATGGATTTGATTCCAGGCATGGGGGCTGGGAGGTTAGCTGGAGTCCCTAAGGTGTTAGACTTTACTCAGTTATCATGTTAGGATTTAATACATTGTTGGTTCTGAACTTTATTTTGTACTGTGTTTTTTTATAAGATACTAGCCATCCGGGTTGTTACAGAGAAATGGAAAGTGATAAAAATCAAATCGAATTGATCCAATCATAAAAATTCTAAATTGCATCAGTGAGCAAGTATGTAGCAATAGGCACAAATAGTGTGTTAGGGCAATGCTACAATTAGTGTAGCAATTTTTGTTGACCTAGCATACGTACTGGCAATATCCCCTTCAGCAGTGACAATAGCACACTTGCATAGTCACTTTGAAGCTTTTCACAAAATTCTTCTGTGATAAAGAATTTGGAGGAAAAGGAAGAAATGTGTAGGGAAGAAATGTGATACAATTGCAAGCAACATCTTTTATGTGAAACATATAAAATAAACAATACTATAGAACAAACATTAACATTTGCTCACATAATATACTGCTTTAACTTCACAGGAAAAGGCCGCTCTTACCTTTTTAAAACTAAGCGCAGATTAACTATTTTATTTGTGTTGTCAGCTCTTGAATCAGGTTCCCAAGCAAAAGAACTTCTGGATGTAGATGGTTCCTCCGTGATTTTGGAAAATGGAGTTACTAAGCTGAACACCGTAGGCCATTATGGGGTAAGAATAAACATCCAAATGTGTTGAAAATTTGCCTTTGTTAGGGGAGTATTAGGCAGATGTTAATTTATAACATGCATTTTCATTTTGTTAACATACGGAGCATATGTAAAGAATGACAATTGGATACAGATTTCAGGAAAAGTAAGAAAGATGGCTTTATTGTATGATTTCAGATTTCAGATGGAGCAACAATGAAAGTATTTAAGAAGAAACAAGATATATCAGCTGGTAAAACAAATAACATATTTATATAATATATTGGATTTTTGAAATTTTAAGTTTGTGGTAATTCTTTGGATTATAATTGAATTATAATTCAGAAGTTCATATGAACTGAGAACTGATTTCAGATATACAGTAATATGATAAGAACTAAAATTATTTAACTGAAGAAAAATTAAATATTCTGTTCTCAATATTGGGCAGTTGTAAGATTCTAAGAAGCTCACTTGCCCAGTCCAGGATTTCAATTTTCTCCAAATCAAACAATATGAAAGACAAATTGAATACTTCATGCCTTGCAAAAATCAACTCATAGAAGTCTTGAAAACCCAATTTTGAAAAACTAATTCAAAACCAGTTGAGAAAACATTTACTTCCTCCAGATGTTGGGATTACTATTTTCTGATATTTCTAAGCAAGCATCTATTTCCACTTAAATATTAATTGTACCAGTTAATAGAAAGGACTACCATGATTAAAGATCTTAGCATCTAAATTGGCAGTAATCTGAATAGGAATAAATTTAACCATGCATGTTTTAGTGTATTTTTCCTGAGCATCAGCCTACTTTCTAGGTCATAGCTTGATCTTTATGTGTGCATTCAGTTTACCCTTTCCCCCCCCTCTTCACATGTTGACCAGATGGAGAATATTCTGAGGACTATTGCCATCTGGTAAGTCAGCTTAATACCTAGTAATTAGTCATTTGTTTAGCTACTTAATCGCAGCATTTCCATGAACATCTGTGTAAACCTTTCTTATAGATATTACCAGATGCAGAAGCAGCCAAAGAATCACAGAGTGCAAAACATAAAGGAAAACAAAAATTTAAAGTCAAAGAAATGTATCTCACTAAACTTCTCTCTACTAAGGTGATTCTGAGATTTTATTTCTAATCATAAAAGAATGATATAATGCTATAATTATTCAGTGTATATTCTGTTACTTTACAAAATGACTTGCTTGCATATGAAGGCTAAAAAGCACTGGGGCAAGGAATATATGACAAGACTTTCTATTTCATATGTAAAGCAACAGCATTTTGGAAATGCTTTATATATACCTGTAATTAAATACTGGTGTCATTAAGTACATATACTTATGCACTAAATCATGGTTATATGACCATCCATATATATAAGAAGGCTTCCTCTTTGACTTACATAAATTGAGAATAATTGCACGTTACGCATAGAGGAGCTCTAAGAAGGGCTGCATTCATGACTATCAAATGATTGTGAGGATAAAGTGTTTGTGGAAACGGAGATTGAGGAAAAGCACATATATTGCGTCAATCTTCCTACATGGAAGGAGATATGTAAGTGTAATTAGTAAAAATTAATATGTGTCCTTGCATGAAGTTATAGATATGTTAAGCTTAATTGGAGTGTATTGGCTCCATTCTTATAAATTATTTTAATTTATACCCAAGCAATTTTACACACACACACACAGAGTAATGAAATGCTTTTTTTGTTTTGTCACAGGTTGCTATCCACTCAACTGTTGAAAAGCTCTTTAGAAGTATTTGGAATTTGCCCAACAATAAAGCCCCAATTGCTATTAAATATTTTTTTGATTTTCTGGATGCTCTGGCTGAAAATAAAAAAATTACAGATCCTGATGTGGTTCACATATGGAAAACCAACAGGTATTTATGTGCTCACTGTAACTTGGTAGCATATAGAATATTCTTCTTTTTGGCAGATAAAGTTGTTTGTAGTTCTGGGGGATTATTTGGAGTGAATTTGATTCTGTGATTCCTTAGGAAGTGAACAAGCCTATTAGCTTAGCCATTTGGCTAAATCCAGATTCCCCTTCTATGATTAAAGCTTCCCATGAGGTGACTTGTGGTTGGACGTGTGCATTAGTGTTAGCCTTCTTCAGGGGTGGGATGCAAATATTTTTGCTACCAGTTCTGTGGGCATGGCTAGGTGGGAGTAGCTAGGTGGGAGTGGCATGGCTTTTTTTGCAGCACCCCCACCATGCTCCTTTTTTTCTTTTCTTTTTGCCTCCTGGGCTTCAGGGAAGCCTCCTCAGCAAAGCAGTAAGACAGCAAGGGGGATCCCAGCACAGCTGATCGTTGGAACAGATGATCGTTGGGAGAAAAAAAAAGAAATACCATAAGGAGTAACTTGGTGGGGTGGAGCAAGCGGGGAAGAATGCAGTCAGCGATGTCGTGCATGAGCGCGATGTTGCACATGCGCGAAAAGGACTGGCTGGGAGGGGAGGGTGGAGAGGGGTGGGGCCAGCCAGGGGCACGATTTGCCGGTTCTCTGAACTGTGCAGAATTGTAACAACCGGTCTGAACCAGTAGAATCCCACCCCCGGCCTTCTTGAATAAAGGGTGTCCCTTTGGCCTTGAAGGAAGCTATTGTGTGTCCTATCCTCAAGAAACCATTATGGAGTCCAAAAGCCTGGGACAATTATATCTTTTAAGGAAGATGATGGAGAAGGTGGTCAAACTTCAGCTTCAGGGGACCCTGGAGGAAACAGTTATTTTGAATCCATTTCAGTCAGTTTTCAGGCAAGAATTTGGTACATACATAGGTAACATTGGTTGCATTTGTTGATGACTAAGGTGAAGCCAAGACTGAGGTGGTATATTGATCCTGATTTTTTTTTTATCAGCAACTTTCAATACCATTGACTATAGTATACTTTCAGGTTGACTCTGGGCCTTGGGTGCAAAGCATATTTTATAATCTCTTTTCTCTGCAGCTAATATCAACTTATGTTAATTGAGGAGGACTCATTAGGTACTACAGGCTCTCTTCCATTCTATAATACATGAAATTGTCAGGTTTAACATATACATAAAACTGCTGGATAAGGTCAACTGTCAGTTTGGAGTCAGGTATTATCAGTCTGCTAGTAATGTCCAGTTATCTATTGACTCTGGATTGGCAAAGTGACACAGTTAAAGTCCTAGCCCAGTGCCCACAGGCTATATGGGTATGGATGAAGAAAACTGACTCAGTCTCAGTCTTGAGAAAACCAAGTGGCTATGTTTACTCAAGCTCCTCCCTCAATATACTAACTTTCAGTGGGATGTACTTCTTCATTTGAGATGGTGTGCAATCTGGGGTTCCTTCTGGACTCTCAGTTCCTGCTTGAAGAGAGTCTAATGCACCAGTTTCCTGAACTATGAAGCCCTTCAGATAGTCACGCACGAACCAGTTATTTCACAGTTAGATTATTATAACATGCTCTGGACTGGACCACCTTTAAAAACGATCCAGAAGCCACAGCAGTTTCAGAATGCAGCAGCGGAAGAAAGTAGTTGACCTGGCTTAGGCCTGGCTTTCTGAAAGGCTGCTTATCTTCAATTGTTTCTGTCCATCCAGTGTGAACAAGCAAGGTGGGTGCGCTTTGAGCCCCAAAGATTAAAGAGTGCCATCTTGTGGGACTGAGGAAGCATGGTTCCTGTTGCAGTGCCTGGGTTTTGGAACAACATTGTCCCAGTCATTTAGGGAGCTTTTGGAAACTTTTAAAAATCTATGAAATTTTTAAAAAGATGGTTGTTCCCCAAAGCCTTTCTTTATATTAATTGTGTTTGCTGAATAGCTGGATATATTGCTCTCCAGTCAGCCATGGTCCTTTTTTTACTTGTATCTCTAATATTACTCTTTTTTTATTTGTAAGTCATCCAGAATTACAAAGAAATTGAATACATACATGTATGCAGTGGTGGGATTCAGCCGGTTCACATCAATTCAGCCGAACTGGTTATTAACTTTGTGTGCAGTTCGGTGAACTGGCTGAATCATCACGCCTGGCCCCGCCTTGTGGCTTGTCCTCCCCCTCCCCTCCTCCCCTTGCCCAACTTCTCCTGAGACCATTTTGGCATCTTGGCGCTTCTCTGACCGGCTCCCCTCCCCACTCCAAGCAAGCAACATTGGTGCAGGCAAAACTCCAAGGCAGCTCTGACAAGGCACTCGGAGGGAGGAGCTGGAGATCCTAAACAGGTGGCCAGGCTAAGTGCCTGAAGGACCCCGTCTGTCACCAGTTCTGCCTCGGGGCAGAGGATGGGGCCTCAGCCAGGGAAAGGTTATTCCCAACTCTCGGGCTGACTGGCTTCTTCCCAGCAGCTCTTTCTCTGCTTTTTGGCATTGGCCACCAAAGACAAGGTTTTTGTGGGCAGAAGACCTTGCCCCACCTGCAACCACCCAGATCCCCTTGCTTCCCCCAAGCATTCCTTTGCCTACCTGATTCCCAGCTCTTGCCATTGTGTGCAGGGAAACAAATGTTTATGGGTCTAAAAAAAATAAAAGTTCAATCAGTCAATTCCAACTTCTTGTGGAAAAAAAAGATCCCGCAAAGTTGGAATCCTTCCATCCTCCATGAGTTTGAAATGCCGCTGAGGAAAGGTGCCGATGACTCCACGGGTCTCTCTCTCTCCTCCTCTCACCACCACCCAAAAGCCCTCGCTTCCCCCAAGAAAGGTGGTCAAAGAAAGTGCCTCTCCTAAAGGCCTTTAGTTTGATGCACCCACCTGCTTTGCCTCTTCCATCACTTGCTCCCTTCCTGAACACGGGCAAGAAAAGCACATTGTCCGGGGGTGGAAAAAAGACGCGTGCAGGAGCTGCTCTTTCATTTCTTCTTTCACTTTGTTGAGGCTGGAGGTGCTCACTGTCTTGAGTCACCCTCCTCATTTATCCAATGACAGAGATGGCATCTTAAGAAGCCATGCTTTAATTACAGTATTTAGCACGTGATGGAATCCTCCTTCTTTGACCACTTTTCTTGGGAAAAGTGAGGGCATGGTGGGTGGGGCAAGCTCCATGGCATGGTGGTGCAATGGAAGAAATGGGCAACAAATTGGGCCACTTTCCCTTTCTTCTCCCTCTTCCTCCTACTCCCCTCATGCCAGTCACTGCGTTGCCCATTTCTCCATTGCAGCCCAGTGCCTGGAATCCACTTTGATTGCAAGGTGCCTGGCCAAAGTAATCCCCGTCTCCCCTACATTGGACTCAGCTTCGATCATGCTGCCAACTTAATTCCTTGCCCCTCTCACTTTTGCCTGCAGACTGATCAACAGCCGCTGCATGCAGCTCCATGGGGAGGTGGGAATCCCTCCACTTCCCCCAATTCTTTGCCTTCCCACGTGAGCTTTCTGGAGCATCAACTCCTTGTCTCTATGGTAACCCCCCCCCTCATTCCTCACCTCTTAAAAGAGCCGCGTCCAGAAGGCTGAAACAGACCACGAGACCAACGTGCAAACAAGCACCCTCAAAACAGCCTTTTGGCAAAGGGTGGAAATTTAACAACCGGTTCGCCCAGGGTCAGGTTGGCTGTCATAGGAGGCTCATCCCGCATGTGTGGCAGAGCTGGAGGATGCAGATGGGCCACACCTCTCATGACAGCCAACCTGACCCTGGACGAACCGATAGTTAAAAGTTTTTTACTCCCACCACTGCGTATAAACATGCATGCACACACACATTACAATTTCAGAAATTATTAGCACTGCAGGGCATGTTGAAAATGTGTCCATCAATTGACAGTAAAATAATTTTTATGTTACTTTTAGTTAGTGTTTTTTTACAGTAAATATTTGCTAGATTTTCCATGAAGGATTTGTATTTCATTATTTTAACATAACTTTTTAAATACCTTTTTTGACTAGTCTGCCTCTTCGATTCTGGGTGAATATTCTGAAGAATCCTCAATTTGTCTTTGATATTAAAAAGACTCCACATATAGATGGCTGCCTGTCAGTCATTGCACAAGCATTTATGGATGCATTTTCTCTATCAGAGCAACAGTTGGGAAAGGTAACGTCTTATTTTTCATGCGTACCAAGAGCCTCTTTTAAAAGTTTCCCAGGAAGGAGGGAGCATATTCAGAATGGGAGGTGTGGAGACAAGAGGCAGCCTGGTCTGGAGCTGGGTAGCAGATCGAGGAAAAGAGTTAGGATAGTCTTTCCCTAGAATCTCCTCTTACTGTATGGTAGTAGTAAGGGTTCAATCTGGCTTGTTTGGTTGTTTGCTTGCAGACATTTTATTACCCAACTAGGTAACATCATGAGTACTAATTAGTGTGGATTTTGCAAGCAAATAACTAAGCTCAGAGAGAACCCAAGACTAAAAAGTTGTTCTGTTAAGTTGTCCAGGACTAACTTTCAGATAAGTGAATTAATAGGATTGCAGTCTTCCAAGCACTGTACTATTCCTATTGAAAATAGTCATTTCATCTTTAAATGTGACTCACTGAAAAAGTATTTCCTGAGCCATGTCCACATTCTTTTGGGAGTATAACTTCATATCTTCTATGTCTATAGTTTTTTAGAATAGCTTCATAATCTGTGCAGAGGAATGTATTAGCTTAGGAAGCTCTTACCTGGCTTCTTGGATATATTATGATTTCTGCTAGACCAGGATCACTTGGGGTGCTAACTAGCCAGTTTGGCCCAGTTTGTATGAACAAATTATTAACCTTTCCTAATTACCAGAAAACTGCAATCATTTTGCATGAATTTCTCTAAAACCTTGTGATGATAGTTTTAGCACAAGCAAAGTTTGCTTTTATAAGAAAAGGCTCATAGGCAGGAGGCTGCCCAGAGCACAAATGGGGTGTGTGGAATCACACTATCAGAAGTTGGGATCAAATGCAAAAGCCCCTTTTTCTTCTAGGGCTGACCAGCTGCCCTATATTTCTTTTGTGTCCTGAAAAAGACCCCTATGTTAGCTTTGTGAGCTCCCCGATTCTTCTGTCGCTGTTCCTAAGAAAGTTTTGGTGCACCTGGCAAGAACCAGACATATATTTTCCTCTGTTCTAGCTGGAAGACTACATTCCAATGATGCTGGTGGTCTTGTTGTCTCATAATTAACTTTTCCTAAAATTTTGTACTCAGAGATTTCAGGGAATGGTTGTAAACCTGCAAATAGTCTATTAGGTCTACCAAGATAGCCTGACATGACTGATGACCAGAACTGATTGTTCCCTAATTTTGACAACACGGGGGGTTCACTAACAAATGAGGCCTCTTGCTAACTTTTATGATGTCTTTTCTTCTTCCTCCTCAAAGGAAGCACCAACAAATAAACTTCTGTATGCTAAGGATATACCACTTTATAAAGAGGAAGTTAAAGCTTTCTATAAAGCAATAAGGGATTTGCCTCCACTGCCCAGAGCAGAGCTGGAAGAATTTTTAATTCTGGAATCACAGGTATCTGTCTATTATTTCTGCTGTAGCTGGAACTTAAACATGTATTGTAAATGGAGCTGTGTCTTAATGTATTTAAAGGACAGTTCCCATTAATGGATTTATTCAGAAACATATCAAAGGTTCCAGTAATATTTTCCTTTGTCTTTCAATGTTTACTTGTAATTATTATTTACCATTTTATGTACTATGGATAATAATAGTGGTATCTTTAAATATAAACAGTTCCTCAAACTTCCTCACTTTTTTTTATAGAAACATGAAAATGAATTTAATGAGGCTGAGGCCTTGAATAAAATTTACTCCTATATAACAAGATACTTTGATAAGGTAAGAGCCCCCCCCCCCCCTAATCTAGACTGGCTGTTGTGGACTACTGAATGGCATAGCCATAGAATGTTCAGGAACATTCCAATTAGGGAAGAAAGTGGTTACTGTATTAGCACATGATATACGTGGGCAATTTTCAACTCTAAAATCCCTGTTTGGCCCCATGTGTGCACTGGCACTCCTCCAATTCTTATCTCTGCCCTTCTAGTCAGGACAGGGGAAGGGGAGAGGAACTGGACAGAAACTAATTGGAAGTGAATAAACTGTCCCTTAAGGACTAATAACTCATATGGATTAATGACCTTGAAGCAATAGGTTGTGATTCTTTTTACAATGACTGAATCCCTATACCCTATTTCTATAACTATATCTACATTTATTCCTATTCTACCATTCTATTCTATTCTACCCTACCCTATCCTACCCTACTTTCTATTCTACCCCAGGCACCTTGCATTTTATTCTTAAGGCCAGTGCTGTTTCCTACTGACAATATAGCACTGTTTTTCACAGGCTGACTAATAAGATCATCTGGCTGGAGGGGTGTGTGTGTGAAGAAAGTAACCTGTAGTTTGGCAAAGCCATGCACAGCAAAAAAGTTACCCACCCCTTTTCTAAGATTTAATAAGAGCCACAAATTAATTTAGGAGAATCCAGAGTTCCTTTAGATTTTGCATTATTTGTCCCCTGGCCTTTGCTGTCTTCTTTCTCTTGGGCAAGCCTTTGGAAACAAATCTTATTTTTATGGAAAACTGTGATTTCTATAAATAAAACATAGAAGTCAATGCATGTGAGGTAAATTAACTAGACTGACTTAATCTAGTTAAGTTTCCAAACAATGACATTTTTTTTCATGATCTCAAAAACATGTTATATCTGGCTGGCAGGTAATGAAAATATTTTAGTGCTCAATATTTAGACTTGAATAGTTGATTCCTGTTGATTATTGAAGTTGGAATTTTTCTGCTTTTAACAGATATACAACATGAATCTATTGCTATTTGAGTTGTATTTACAGAAACACTTGTGACTTTAATTGAGGTTGCTAGTGCCGACAGAAGTGTTCATCCTGTGATTAATAATAACTTGCAAAGGAAGATGCAAAAATAGCCTGGCTTTAGAAGGAACAGTTACTTAAGCAGAGCTTACTTTTTAACATTGGGTTGGGGGAAATGTTTTTTTTAATAAGCAAAATAAACATACATTCCTTTGTTCTCATAGATACTGAATAAATTAGAGACAGAACGAGGGTTGGAAGAAGCCCAACAGCAACTCTTAAATATAAAAGGCTTAATGGATGAAAAGAAAAAATGCAAATGGGTGTAGTCATTTAATTTTATAATTGCTGCTGTTATGGAACCAAATTCAAAATATTGGCCAACCAGTTCCATTCACACAAAATCAGCAACGGATGCCCTCAGATCGGAACAGTCATCTCCAGATGTGTCAACAAAGTGGAGCCTGGACTGAGACATATACCTGCCTGCTTCTGGCATCTGAAGGAATCCCTCTATGCAGATCTTCCCTTCTAGATTGATACAATCAAGTAATTTTGGTTTATTTTTTTGCATTAAAAACCACCTGAAATGCAGTTCTTATATAAACAAACTGGTTATGTTATCGTTCACAACTTTGTCTAATTTCGATGCTGTTACTGAGCAGCAATTTATGTGCCTTAAAAGACCTCTCAGTTGGTTTCTGATAAGCACAAATATATCCTCTTGTTATTCATAGTCTGAGCATCAAAATTAGAGAGCTTTCAACTGCTACATGGCTGTATAATGAAGTGCAGATTTTCAACTTCCCCCAAATAGTTGCACATTGTGGCATAACTGAAAGTGATGTGGGACTGAAATAGAGGGGAAGATTACCACCCAGCACATTGATACAGCTATGCAATTCACCTCTTGATAAAGTCGGTTTCATATCCAGCTCTACTGAAGATGTCACTGACGCATCCATGTAAGTTTCTTGGCATGATAATGGAAGTGGTTTGCAAAAGGCAGTTTCCCTGTCTTCCGAACACAAACTTACACTTTGAAATTCTTCCATCACTGTATCTGCACTTTTTAAAAATGGAGCTGGTGGCCTTTCCTATCTGTATTTTCATTAGTATATAAATGCATTGTAAATATAAGGGCAAAAATAAAAATTACAAAGAGGGTTTTTTAACAACTGAAGATTCATAAATGTATCATAATTTTATTATTGAGTAGTTTATTATATAAAGTAAATGTGGATGAGGGCATCACGTAGATTTAGGCTCTTCCTCAGCTTCTATGCCTTCCCTGCGATTGGAATACCAATTTTCTCAGCTATATTTTATAGGGCCTGCAGTGCCTGCATTTGAAGGCAAAACCATATTGTCTGCAACTCCTTCAGGAAGTTGTATCTTTTCCTGGGATTGGGGTGGTTCACCAAAGTTATAGCAGAATCCCAGGAATAGGTTTGGTATAAAGAGTGCTATGTACATACCCTAAAGCCTGGGTGTCAAACTTGCGACACCACATCATCACGTGACGTATCATGACTTTTTCCCCCTTCGCTAAACCGGGGGTGGGCATGCCCAGCATGAGACACATCCAGCCCACGGGCTGCCAGTTTGACACCCCTACTCTAAAGTGTCTCCTTGCCTTCAAATATGAAGCACTGCTGTGTTCTAATATTTAGAGTTTATTTGTTGCCTATCACATCCTGCTCAGATTAATATTTACAGGGAACACATCAGCAGATGTCTGCATGTGCTGTATCAATTTTTAAATTTTTAAACAAAAAAACTTAAAAGTGCCTCAACAAATTGCAGGTTTTGGTCCCACTACTTCTTGCTAGGAAAATTCTAACGACATTGGAAAGATTAACTAGCCATTATAGGCTGAGGATTCTCTAGGGCGAAGTTGCCCAACCTTGGCAATTTTTAGACGTAGATTCCAACTCCCAGAATTCCCAAGATGTGTTTCACTACAGGGGTCCCCAACTCCAGGCTGCAGACTAGTACCCGTCCAGAGCCCTTTGGAAACTGGGTCATGCAAACAGTAGGTGAGCACATAAAGCTCTATTTGTGCATGCATAGAATTACGTTGTGCACATGAAACCCTCCCAGCCTGCCACTGCCGGTCTGTGAAGCCAAAAAGGTTGAGACCACTGTTCTAATAGATATGGAAAGTAGATTTTAAAAAAATTAAAAGAATATTATGCACAAAGTGACATATTTACCAATAGGTGCTGAACATTTCCCCCCCTAAATAATTACCTGTTAATGAGTAACATAGGAATGAGCAAAGCATACAACTGAATGTTACATAGCATGGATGTCTCTAAAGGTCAGACCAGGGCTTCCCAAACTAAATCTGTTCAGAAATGATACAATGAATTTGTATGTTCCCATCCCCCACACAATTAAAATGAATGATTATAATGGGATCCAACTTGGACAAGAAATAACTATACATTTTTAAAAATTAGCATTTAGTTTTTATATCAAATAAAACCATAATAAAACTATACAAGGGAATTTCTTTGTAAATAAGCAATTCCTCCATTCCCATATTTAAAACTGTATTTTTAATGGAAAAGGGAAGGACGTGCTGACTTTAGTTCCTGAATTCAAGTTTCATTTTGAAGAGTTACTGTTATGCAGCAGTCAGGAAGGAAAAGGGGTGAAGGTGCCTCTAAACCAGCTTGAGTTAAACACTTGCACAACACTGACAGATGTTGCTTTCAGAATATCTGCCAGTTATTGCCCAGGCCCAAGGGCTGCTCTTTTGAAGGGCAAAATGGTGATGATGGTGCTTGTGAAAGAAAAATAATATATATGAAAAAGACCACTCAGGCTTATTTGTTAGGCATTACAGAGTTGCTTTGCTTTCAGTAACTGTTAAACCTACTCAAAAAAGGAGCAGCAAGGAAGGTACTCAGAATGGGATTTCCCCAAAATTAACCCTTTTTAAATACCTAAACCCTTTTTAAATACCTAATACCCCCCCTTCTTTCTTCCCTTTTTCATCCTAATTCGTGATTTCTGTTCAGTTGTTTTCCTCCTGTTCTTTTTCTCCCCAAACAGCCACTCTTTCTTGAATTGTCATGCTGGGTTTTTTTAAAAAAATGTTCCATTTCCACTGGGGAATGTGTATATATATATTTATATTTCTCTGTGTAAAAGTGGTTTGTGCATGCAGAAAGGATCAGTATTGTAAGTGGAGCACTTTATTTCATTTTGATCAGTAGTTACTAAATTAATACATTCGGGACCAGGGATTGTACTCATTTAAGGGGAAAATAATTTCCAATAAGCATATAGATATAGAGGCATAGGGTGGGAAGGGGAATGTCCAGAACTGGATTTTAAAGTTATTTGAAAATTGCAATGTATTTATTGCATATTGCATTATTGAGAGGAACTACTGAAATAAAATATTTCTGACAATCTCTGGAAACAAGCCAAATTTTAGCATTCCTATTATAAATGTGTAAAACAAAATTTTATAGATGCATATAATTCCAATCTATTAGACTTAAAGTAATTGTTTACAAGTATAAATGGAGTTGGAAAATGTATTGTATGAATATGTAAAATATTTCATTTCATACATATAAACTGTGATGTTTGTTTTTGTTTGATTTGAAACTTTAGTATATGTTCCAGTTTTTCAAGAAAATCAATGTGAAAACAAGTATAGCATTTTTAAATGGGCAAATAGTTTAGAAGGTGTTTTTTTTTTTTTTTTTACAGAAATCAGTTTTATTCCAGAATTATAATTTTCAAACCTGGAAAAAAAATAAAGTTCAAAACTTCAATCAGCCAGAATGGTATATGTGTACTTATTGCCGGAGAACTTTGTGTTCTCACTAGAGCTGACAATTGTGTTTTTTTTTTTTAAAAAAACAGAAAGTTAGCCCATTAGATTTGTATTAAAATTGAAGATTTACAGTTCTTAAGTTTGAAGAGAATGGAGGCCAACTGAATTCCAATGTGACATATGAGCCAGACAGCAAAAAGGTCTTTCCAGCAATTTAGCACCCTGCAAAGTTTGTAAGGAAGAAGTGATCCAACAGAAACTCAGACCCTAAGCTATTTAGAACATAAACAATAATACTACTATCAATTCTGCCTGTACCTTAAATTTTTTTGGTTCCTGTATCTTGAATTATCTATGTGCCAAATTGTGCAATTGCTTTATCCATGCACCTTTTCAAGGAAAATCCTATAATGTTGGGATCAAGGTGCTGACCAAAGGTGGATAGCTCATGAATGGAGATAAGCATCACAGTATAATTGGGCAAATTCAGCCCTCACTTAGGAATCTAGTAATATCCAAACCACCTTTTGGGGGAGATTGTAAACCTATACAAATACTGAATCTGGTTTTATATTTTCAGTATCATGAATCATGTTCAGCTTAATGTCCATCATTAAACTGATTACATATTTATTTAGTATATAGATAGCATAGAGGAGCCTTGGTGGCACAGTGGTTAGAATGCAGTACTGCAAGCTACTCCTACTGCAATTTGGCAGATCGAATCCCACCAGGCTCAAGGTTGACTCAGCCTTCCATAGTTCCACAGGAAAGTTGGTCAGAATTGATGGCAAGATGAATGCAGTATGTTATCAAAAGATACTGGAGGAAAATTTGCATTCATCAGCCCGGAAGCTGCGCATGGGACATACTTGGACATTCCAACATGACAATGACCCGAAACACAAGGCCAAGTCGACCTGTCATTGGCTACAGCAGAATAAAGTGAAGGTTCTGGAGTGGCCATCTCAGTCTCCTGACCTCAATATCATTGAGCCACTCTGAGGAGATCTCAAATGTGCATTTCATGCAAAACAACCCAAGAATTTACAGGAACTGGAGGCTTTTTGCCAGAAAGAATGGGCAGTTTTACCATCTGAGAAGATAAAGAGCCTCATCCACACATACCACAAAAGACTTCAAGCTGTCATTGATGTTAAAGGGGGCAATACACTGTATTAAGAACTGGGGTATGTAAACTTTTGATCAGGGTCATTTGGGTAGTTTCTGTTGTCATTATGATTTAAAAAGAGTAAACACAGTTGATCGATAATAAATGGCTTCAGCCAAACACTAGCCATGAGTGAAAGAAAAGTTTTTGTGTTATCATTCATTTTCTCTGAAAAATGGCCAAGAAATCATAATTTCTGCCAGAGTATGTTAACTTACGAGCACAACTGTACATGTTATAAATAAATGTAATAAATAAATATATCTAAGGCCATTACAGCTAGCTCAAGAAAAGTCAGTGGTGGCAGCACATGAACTGTCCCCACACACTGTTTTCTTATCAAATTTGCTGATTAGCATATTGGAGATATGAGTCCTAACTCTTCAAGTTTCAGTGATATGTCGGCTCAACAGCCATTCAGAATTAAATGCTAGTTAGCAGATGTTTCACTACCAACTAACTTAACACTTATGAACTGGCAATAAAAATAGTCTTCACCTATATATCAATCCTAAAAAAAGTAAAAGTAGCAGAATCACTTAAATTTGTTGGACAGTGGAATAATTCTATTCTGTCATCAAATCCCTGAAGAAATGGCAGAATCTGAGCTGCAGAAGTTTTTTTATTATTGTTATTGTTGTTGTTGAGATGATTTGTCCATTTAGCTTAGGCTTATTTACTGACTTACTGGAAACTGCTTAAAACAAATTAATGAAATGCTTTAGAAATTGTTTTGTTGCTTAGCTTATTAAAAGTTAAGAAACTGTAGAATAAAAACAATCCACTAATTTCAAAATTATGTTTTTATGGCTGTTAAATAATTAAATAAAACACAGAGAAGATAATTTTACAAAAATATATTATAAATAGATTTGATTAGTTAACAAAACTTTGTTCTGAAACACACACATTTTTGCATGTAGGTAAAGCAACATTCATATTCACTTAAAACGTGATTATTTTTCTTGATATTTCATAATATATTAAAGTGCAGATAGCAAAATATTTTTCAAAGGTAAAATTGTGGAAAAAATTCATATGATAACAGAGCTCAAACAATGTTGTTTTCCATTTTCTCAGTATTTTAAGATTATAAAAGTCCAGCTTGGTGAATAACAAAAAATGGAAATTTTATATAAAATTTGAGAAAAGTATTGTTAGCAAAACATTACAGTGCAACATGATTCTTAGAGTGTAAAATCAGAAAATTATTTTCCAAATATTTCAATTATAATTTTTTTTAAAAAGTATTAAAAATAATACAAATGATGTAAAATAGAGCTTTTACCTATTTCACGGCACTTGTAGATGAATTTTTGGCAAAAGATGAAAAATGTTTAATGGTTTATTTGGCATCTCCAGATGACAGATCATATTGTTCCACAAACTTATTTCTGTCTGATTCAGTACTTATTTCTGACTGAGGTCGTTCAGTAGAAGCACCAAGTTCTCGCAGTTGGTTTCTCTGTGTGGTCTCTAGTTCTTCCAAACGTTTGCGAAGCAGTGAAAGTTCTCTTTGATGTTGCTCCTCCTTCATAAGAGATAAAGGAGATGGGTAGAGGGAATGTAGTACATTATTTAACACTTTCATTTTTAAAGATATTGTAGAACCATAGAAGATTCAGGCTACTGGTTCTGGCTTTTAATAATATGTTCTGATTGTAACCAAAAACAGTACTTTAATACCATGGAGACAATAAAGACGCCTATATTGATTTATAGGAACTTGCGTGTAACTAGAGGAATTAAGAGAATATTATATAGCTTATCTAAAAGTTTAGATAACCGTCACTGTAAAAATCATACAGAAATTGTAAGATTTTAAGCAAAATCAATAGAATTAAAGAAATGGCATTACTACTTTTCTGCATAATTAAGGTTAGGATTTATCATATAACTTTTGGTTCAACATGGTAATGTTAGAAATGGCAGCATCTTAGCTGCAAAATGGCACAGTCACAAAAAAAAGTCTGTTCTCTTTCAATACTAGCATATTGTTTCGTTAAATTTTATTACTGAAAACTGGAAAAATAGAAACTTTATTTGTATGCTTTTTGAAACACTATTACCTAATCTGTCATATGAGAATATTACATACCTGAAGGAGAGGGAAGGGTAATTCTGGCCCAGGAATCAAAGATGAAGATAATAAATTAGCTGGATTCAGTATTGGGATGTTGGGAAAAAGGATCAG